GGCTTCACCTGAGCTGTGTTGTATGGCAGGGCTTGCCACTGCTTCTTCCACCCCACAAAGGCTCCTGGAATGGCTCCAACAGCCACCCTGCCTGAGCTGCTGCATTATTGATTAACCATTTAACCAATATAATTAGAGGAGGTTAAATGGATACTTTGAAAAATGGTATTTCCATCTCTAGATACCATGTGATTTTGCATTTTAATTCTCTACAAAGAAATCAAAAGACCTTATTCAGACTGGGATAAATTTACATGATATGATGGAAGAGTTAAAGCCAATATAATTTCTAAAAACTGGGTCAGCCATAGAAATAGAGAACTCTCCATCATAATTACTTACAGATATGATTAAGGGCTAGTTCTAGTGTACAAGGCTTTCACTTTTCTTGTTAGATGGATAGGAGTTAATGGCAGAAGATATTCATGTAGATTTTTAAATGGATGTATAAAATCTATCCTTTTCCCTTTTTCTCTGAACTCTGGGCATGTGGTTAAAATTCCGTCTTGTGTAATGGAATAATAAAAGCATTTGGTCGTCATATAACACAGATTTCATAGACATTAGGGCTGAAAGGAACCTCAGAAGATCATCGAGTCCAGCCCCCTGCCCAAGGCGCAGGAAGTCAGCTGGGGTCATAGGATCCCAGCAAGGGAAAGTAGTGAAAGAATCTTTAAAGCAGTGAAAGAAAGCCCCTTCTGTTGTTAGAAGTTAGGGGATGTATTAGTCTGCATATCATCTTTTGAGGAAGCTTCCTTAGTTTCACCGATGAGTTCTAGAAGTATGTTGTGCCTTTCTTCATTTGATTTTTTTTTTCTTTGTTTGTTTTTCCTTTTCAAAGAAAGGGTGGCTTTTTTGTGGATCTCTTTGTGAGAGTCTCAAATCAGGTGGCTGTAAATATGTACAAGCAACTAGGCTACAGTGTATACCGGACTGTGCTAGAGTACTACTCTGCTAGCAATGGCGAGCCTGATGAAGATGCTTATGGTAAGCACTTTGCTCCTTAGAGCAAATCAGCCTGTAGTTGAGGAGGAAAGCTCCAACTTAGGCTTTTGGAGGGTTTTTGGTTTGGTTGGTTTGTTTTATTTATTTTTTAAATATGATGTCACTTCAGTCAACAATTTATAAGTGAAATTAGTGTTACTTGAATCACAGATTTTAGTTTTTCAACATCTCATGTATATTTGGTGGCACAGTGGAACCCAGATTCTTCACAGCATTAGGTTCCCAATCCCCTGTGAAGATGAGGGCTTGTGAACCAACTGAGGATATGTCTAGCTGCAGCAAACAGCTTTGCGGGTCCTCTGAGATACTCCAGGTCTTTGAAATAAAAGCCACAGCAGAGGGTGTTGCTTCTCTGATCAGCTGCTTGAGACACTGCTAACCTCCAGCTGAGTAGAGAAGTGGCTTCCTTTAAAGTAAAATCTATAGCCAGCATTTGCATGGCTTGTCCTTCTTTCAGCAGCGAGCTGCGAATTAACTTGGTTGTGAACCACCCAGTTATGAATGATCCAGGTTCTACTGTGGAAGTCATTTTTAGTAGTTTTAGATTTACAGTGCAGTTGTACCGACTGCTTTGGAGCACCTTCTCTAGCTAAGGTTCAAGTGCAGGTCCTGCTCGAATCCCTTACCTGCACATCCCTTCCTTTAGCAAATTACTTCTGAACTGAATTTTTTTATTCTTTGCTACACCCCAAAAGTGAATTTATTTTATAAACAGCAGGAAAATTGATGGTTGGGAGCTGTGGCATGGGCTGTTGCTTGAGTTGAGGAGAAGAGGGAGCAGGCCTCTGGGTAGCAGATGCTTTGAAACATCCTGATATCAGTTATAACTATTTGAAGTCAGCAAAGACGAACATGAGTTTTCCAACTTATTTATGCCTTTATTGCATTCTGCTGCTGGTGCTTACAGGCCCCTTAGATTGTGGAATGATAGACTTTTTATTTTAGAGGAAATTTAAAAGCTAGATATATCAAGTACTTGTCTTGAACTTTTGGATCTTAAAGGTTGCTTCCATAATGTTCACTTGGCCATGCACGAGGTATTTTCTGTCCTGCTTTGTTGCATATAAGTAAATAAAAGCACTGATGTATTAAAGTACACCATATACTCTGTAGGATGTGGCACTAGTATCCTGGGAGCAGGCTTACCAAATGCTTATTTCAACAGTTATGTTGCAGTAATGAGATTTTTGCATTTGCTCGCACTTTATTTGTAGCTGGCTTATACTGGAACTTTTTTGTATGAAAGATTACCCTATTTATCATAATCTACACAGGAAATTTACTTCATATTGGTTTAATATTGTCTTTGCCCTTATAGTAACATTTAGTTGTTTGTCAACAGATATGAGGAAAGCTCTTTCCAGAGATACAGAGAAGAAATCGATTATACCACTGCCTCATCCTGTGAGACCTGAAGATATTGAATAACTGTACGCTGTGGTTCTCAGGTAGTTTACCAAAAATAACATGAACAAATTTAAAGATTTTAGAGAGCACTTTTTAAAAATAACTGAAAGCTCTATAATGAGAAGAAAGAATGGACAAATTGGATAAACTAGGCTCAAAATGTTATCTTCCATGAAGCCCCCAAAGCAACGATAAGTTTGCTTACACTGTTTATATTTCAACTTCCCATTGTTATTTATAAAAAGAAAGCAAATGGATTTAAACATTCCACCATCATGTTTTATACTAATCAGTCCCACAGATAGGGATTGTCAGTACTTTCACCTCCTGGGCCTGAGAATCACAGCTCCAATATTTTTGTGCTTGTTTGAATAATAGCTTTAAAGTAAGATCTGAAAAACATGGAAGGTAAAATAAAATGCAGGTTTATTGTGTGACTGGTGTTTAAAATGATTCCATGGATTTTTCTCACACTATTTATTCTCATGTCAGGTTCCCACTGTTGCCTTTTTATAATTAGTTTTCAAGTTTAAAATTTTGGCTGAAACTGATATATTGCACTTCACCAACACTCATTGCTCTTGGAATCTTGAATAAAGGTAGCAGTACTGGTGAGAGGGATCAAACTATACCTGTGAACTTACAGCAGAGGTGCTCAACCTCTGTCCAGTGGGCCAGATCCAGCCCATGAGACCATGTCATCTGGCCCACAGGTCTGAAAATTTCATGGCAGGGAAGTGGTGGCAGTATTAATTCCAGCTGCCAAATTTTCAGACCCATAGGGAGTCCTGTGGGGTGAATGATGTGGCCCTGCATGCTACATCATGCTCGGACACAGAACTGGGTTGTACCCATGAACTGACCCCATGTGCTGGATCTGGCCTGTGAGCTGGTCCCACACCACTCTACCAGCTCACAGGGCCAGAAGGTTGAGCATTGATTTAGAGCATCATTGGAAGTAACTCAGCAATGTTCTGAAGTATTGAGTATAAGAACACCTGCTGTTTAGGGAAAGGAGGAAACAGGAGCTGAGAAGCAGCAGCTAATCTGTGCTAGAATAATAGGAATGAGTGATTCTGGGAATGAGTCTTACTGCAGTCCTTTATTTTAAGATAGAAAACAAGGATTCTACTTCCACAGTTGAAAAGTCAGCTTTCCCATGACAAAAGCTGTTTGTATAAGCTCTTTAATAACCTGCTGCTATTGAGCCAGGGATGAAGGGTTCGTCCAGCTAGAATGAAAAGCGCTTAGATGTATAGCTGAAGGCCTTTTACTCTAAGAGTGCTGAAGAGAGGCAAAGAAAGATCAGTAGCTCTTCTCTCTATTCCAAGCTGCCCCCACAAACATTACCGTGAAATTGTAATGGATAGCAGTCAGTTTGACGCCACAGTACATGTCTAAGAGGTAATGCATCCAAGTGTTCAGGGCCATCCCTGGGAGGGGGGTAGAAATCAGGGCGATTGCCCTGGGCCCCATGCTTTGCAAAGGGGGAAGGGGGGCTAAGAAGAAAACAGACAGCCTAATGACTGGGGGGGAGGGGGAGCAGTGGATGGCTCTGCAAATACTACTACTGTTTTCAATTCTAAATAGATTCAAACAGCAGCCTGGGGAGGGCACTGAAGACCTCTGCATATAAACGTGAGGGTAACTGAAGTGCTACAATCCTGTGTCACATAATAAAGTCTTCCATTGACCAAGTCGTATAGTAAAATTATGTATAGGTTCTTCAGATGCCCGAGAGACTGGTCTTCACTAAGGGAAAGATGAAGCTGAGTGTTCTTAAAGCCAGGTTTTGGAGTGTAGCATAGATGCATTTGACTGCAGTGATTCTCCATGATGGTGCTATGACAGCCTTTAAAGGGTGCCACCAGAAGAGATTAACAAATACGCACAGGCTCAGGCAAAGAGGGAAGAGCCTGCACTTACCTTCCAGTCACTTCTCCCCCACACACTGCAGTACTCGTTGCTTCTCCTTCCTAGGCCTTTTGAACAGGTAAGCACTATAATAACTAAATGGGGTACCACTCAGTTCACAACTTATAGAGGGGTCCCTCATGTCTAAAAAGGTTGAGAACCACTGGGTTAATATAATAGTTATTTTTAGGCTCTTGAAGCACTTTACAAAGGATGCTGCTGCACCATAACCATATGTGCATATCAGTATATAATGAAAATATTTAAAAATCTTTGGGGTACTGTGGGCATTCATTCTTCAGCAGATTATTGGGGTTGTTGTGCCTTCTTCTGTAGGATAGGATGTGATCCACTCCTTAGGCTCACTCAGAGTATTTTATTTAACAACTTATCTGCCATAGCAGCTGCCAAGGCAGGGGGGTGCCCTTATCCTTGCTTCCTATGACCTATTGTAGGCTTTTTATTGAGTATCTCTTGTGGTGTATGAAGGGGATCAAAGTAGATGTTCTGGTGGACATTTTTGGACAAATTCTTGTCTGGGAACACAGAACTGGATTTGCTGTCTCAGGAGGAGCACAGGTTTGGAAAGGACCTCCTGTGGAAGTGTGGAACTCATTGCCACAATCTTAAGGAAGTATGCAGGTTAAACTGTGAATTGGATACATAAACAACTGTTAAAAAGTTTTTCTGTTACTTTTATTCAGCCCATCACTGATGAAATAACTGTACAAAAATGCAAAAGGAGTGAGGTGAGGGTTCAAATGGAAGAAGTGTTAGGAACTGCTTTCATCAATGTCTTTGTCTGGATCTACCTCTTCAGCTTCGGTTTCTTGTTGCTGCTTCTTCCAAAGTTTAGCCATAGCAAGCAACTTGAGGTTGGGCTGGTTGGCAGCATCTTCTGGAAAGATGTAATCATAGTACTCTTCCCAGCCAGCATCAGACTAGAAAAAGAAAGCACAGATTAACCTTACTCTGAGGATCTGCTCAGTGCTGATGTTTTGGTAGAATGAATATTAGTGCAAGTTCCTAGGATGCTAGAAGCTAAATCAGAATCAAGGTTATTCATTGGCAGAGCAGGTGTTGGTAATGCTTTCTGGCTGTGGGCTGGGATGACCCAGCTCTGCCAACTCAAAGCATCCACTTTCTGGCTGTGGTATGTGTAAAGTCCCCCAACTTTGCAAACTAGTTTTGACCCACAGGCTGTAGGTTGCCATCTCCTGCCTTAGAGAACCATGGACTGATAAAACTAGGGATTCAGAGGGGCAGGGCCCACTGCCAATTAATAAGCATACCTCAACAGATAACAAACGAGACTATTCTGACTGGTTGGAATACGATTTCCCAAGCATACAGCTAAGAAATGACCCCACATATACTGTCCAACTAAACCCACACCACTAATGGTCACTGCCACAGCTTTGATTCTTACCCCATCTTCAGCCTGAATTTTTCTTCTCTTCTTCACTTTTTCTGGCATCAGTTTATCTACTCTCTCCTTAGTGGTATCTGTTCCACACTCCTCTTCAAAGCTTTTCCAGGATTCCAAAAGCATAAGCCTCTCTTCCTTCTCTTCACAGTTCCGCATTGCCTTATTAGCCTCTTCATAGACCTGTCTGCATCTTGACAGGCTGTCATCCTTTCCTGCAGACAGCTCATCCTTTCTTGCAGACAGCTCAAACTGGGCAAAACTGATCCATACCTGGGGGAAATGTAAGTTGACATATCTTTCTAAAGTACTAACACAATGCAGAGTAAATAGTAAGCTAAAATAAAGTAAGAGTTGTGACTAAATAGAAACCAAATACAGAAACCACAGTTTTTGTAAATAAGCATAAGGAAAAATTCAGGTCATGTTATCAGTGTAAGATCTGGTAAAGTCCATGTTAGTTCCATTGAATATTCTGGTTTTCAAGTATTGTTAGAAGGAAAGTGCTGACAAAGAGATAAGTATTCTCAATCATACGCTGAGTATCTTAATCACACAGCGTATATGTGGGTAGCAAAGCTTTCCTCAAACCCAGTAATGGAATTAGGGAATTGGAAGAAGGGTGATCAGCAATTGCTCGTTCCATCTAGGGTCTCTTAACTCTAGTCTGAATTATGTGCCAACTTTATCAGTTTAGCCACCAAGAACTAGATTACCATTGCTGACTCATTCCTTGTAAACCACTGTGGCAGATATTCTTGGTTAGAATAACCCAAGGAGCCTAAAGTGAGTCCTAGTGTTTGCAAATTTTGTGCAGTTAAAAAAAGGCCAAGGCTATTCTGAAGAAACCCTTGCTCTGGAGATCTCGCTCTCTTTTAAATGCAGAATGGTGGTTGTCAGTGTAACTTTTCAAATGTGGGAATCCCAGGAAGCTTGGTTCCCAAATAAATGCTGTCTCCTTACATCCTAGTAATACCCCATACTTTTGCAAAGTGATCTTTTCTTCACATAAAGGCTTTGCAACTGTTTGTCATCTTTAAACAAAGGTAATTTAGCAGTGGCTAACAATTTGATCTCTCTCATTCCCAGTCCCCTGAGTCATGAGAGTTTCCTGTACAGTTACATGTTCACAGTTGGCATTTTAAAATGCCACACCAGTGAAGCAGCTATGATTCCACCCCTTAGCTTAGAGTCTTGACCAGCATATACAACTGCTCATGTTCTGAGTGTATGTACGCACCTTGACATGCTGTGTCCGCTGCAGTAATCTTCGATAAAGGTTCCTTGTTTTCTCATACTCTTCCTGCTCTATTTCAAAGTCAATATAGGATTTCCAAAGAACCTGAGGGAAGAAATACATCAGCCTTTAGCTTCAAAAATCGTGAAGGTATGCCTTTTACAATAAGTCTTAACAGCAGTTTGTCACAAAGGGAAATTAGTCATTGCAATAATTTTCAATATATCAGTATTCTAGAGACATGCCACCACCACTAATTTGTGGCAGCTTCAACCTATGGGTCTCGGCAAGGGACAACAGTGCAAAGGGAGAAAACCACCAGCCCAGCAAGTCAGTAACCTGTTCAGGGGCTGAGTGAAATGGAGGCTTGCAGGATGACTGAAAATTCCTATTTAGCCTATGGCTGCCACTACTGTCTTATAATAATTTGATAAGAGAAGACTCAGAAGCATGGGAAAAACCAACAGCAGAGCCTTTGGGCTCTGCTTCCTTACGGGCTGATTGAAGAGAAGAAGCTAGAAGGGCAGCCTAGATATTGCAGACATTAAAGTTTCAGATCAGGTGAGTGGATAGGGCAACAGGTAAGGAAACGCTCTTAAGTATGCGAGTGGCTTAGATTCAGATGCAAGATTTAACACAGAGACGTATGATGGAGAGAGAGCTGCCATTCACATGATACAGGAATTATTCCAGAGGTGGCCAATCTGCCACAAGTGGCTTGGACAGCCTCTGTGCCACACGTGGCAGAACAGGTGGGGAACAAGCAGCACAACAACCAATAGGGTAGGGAGCACAGGGCAGGGACCAGAAGGGAGAATAGCAGATTGGGCAAGTGAAGGGGATTGCAGTGGCACTTGGGGAGAGTACAGAGCTAAGGCTGGCCTCCACTGGATCATCCACAAATTAATGTCTTTTCTTCCTTTTCAGTATTCACTTCTCTAATGAGAAGTGAATACTGAAAAGAGAGAAGGTATTAATTTGCCCTTGCTGCACTTAACCTGCAAGAACCACAACTAGAGACCTGGAATGTGAAGTGTGAAGAGAAGTGGGGATGCATTTACATGTAACTAGCTTACAAACGACAAGGCTCAAGTAGGGACTAAACAGAGCATAGGGTGATATGTACTAAGACAAAAATATAATTATAAAAAAACCCACTGAGAAGCAGAGCAGATGCATAGGAAAAACCCTGAGGTACAATCTCAGGCCTGTAAACTAAGGCAAGGTGAGTTGTACTATCCAGCACATCTAGCTTGATAACAGAAGTAGGAGAGAGAGAGAGAGAGTGTGTGCACGCAAGCAAATAAAGTACCACTTCTGTTATCAAATACAAAAGTCTGTCATAAAAACATTCGCTTTGGGATGTTATTCCATACTGCTCTGTTATCGACATATCACCCTCCAAAGAGGCATATGGCCACAATGAGAAAAGGGATGCTCAATTAGATGAACCACAGGTTTGCTCCCATACAGCATTCCATCCATTTCTGCTGCTGACCATTTTTTTTTTCTTATTAACCTGATAGATTGAGTAACAATGGACAATTTTTTAGGAATCCTTTGATTTCCTTATGTTAGAGTTCTTCTTTTACTCCTTACCTCTGGCATGTCTAGCCGGGGTTGACCAATCGCCAACTCATATATTGCTCGGGCTCTGTCGGTGTCACCAAGTATTGTCTCTAACTCAGCAAATTTAATCCATGACGTGCAGTTTTCAGGTGTAAACTCCAGGAATTTTTCGTACAGCTTCCGGCAGCGATCAAACTCTCGCAGTTGTAGCTCCAGCTCGATATAACCTTTAAATAGCTTGTTCTTTGGGCATTTGCCTATGGAAGTTCCCTGTGCAGCAGAAAGACAAAAACTGCTTAAAGTATCTTCATTTTAGGAGGAAATAAAGACTTTTTTGCCTATCAAAACATACTGTTCAGTACAGTTTAAGAGTCTCTTAACTCCAAATTTGGTTCAGTGCAAAACCTAACCGGCACTGATCCAGCCAGATCCTTTTAAATCTAATGGTGTGCACACAGTTCCTCTTAAGTGTTCTGAAGATGAAAAGAATCAGAAATTTCTTGTAGTCACTGTTTGTATCTCGAGTATTTCACTGAAACATCATCAGCAAAACTGATGTCTCACCCCAGCTCGAATAAGTGTTCCAGCTTCTAAACCATGGAGTTACTGACACATGGAGGAAGGATGCCCCCTGTCTCCTCCTCCAGATAAGGGATTCCTGAAATATTTGCATATACTGTAGTATGAACTGCTGTCCATTTTCCTCTCCACGCAGTTGCGCAAGTCTACGTCCTCTGCACTCTCATATGCATACACATGCTCACAATTCCTTTGGTGACTGCACCAATACTTAACAAGAAAGCAAATATAAAAAGCTCTGAATATATTGTAGCTCTTTTTACAAATATAGTTCAGTAGATGACCAGCTGTGATGGCAAGCCACCAGCAGGTCCTCTGCTGTTCCTCAACTTTTCAAAGTGAGAGGAGTTGGGTGGGTGTGCTGAAGGGCAGAAAAGAGATCCAGAAGCCATCTGCTTTTCCCATGGCAGGTCTGGTATACCAGGAGAATGATACTTGTTCCTCCTCCAAACCCATGTGAGGGTGCAAGCAATGGCAGAATGTGGTTAAAATGCTTCTGCTGCTGAAGCCTCTGCTCACATGACTTAACATAAATGCTTTTATAATCAAGGTCAGGACATGGCCTCAACAGGGCAATTCATGTGTTACCTATTGCTGTATACACCAAAACCCAAGGAAGCCAGCAGTCAAACCAGCACTTATATCAGCTGTCTTTACAAGCCTCCTCAGTTCCACAAACTTCAAGTCCAACAGATTCCCAGTTCCTCTTTCTGTTCCCCCATCATTACCAGCATCTTACCTACATTAAATATCAGCCAACTTGCTGTCTGTAATAGAGCCTGTTGGAAGGGAAGGGCCCTTTAAAAGAATGAGAACAGGCTGAGACCCCACCCCTTGAGGAATATAAGGGAAAGGTCTCCACAGTAAGGGGCAGAAGTGCTCTGATAATGGAGGAGTGCAGCTCTTGCCAGAGAAGCTGAATGTAAGTATGCTTGGTGAAACCTGATTAAGCAAGCCAGAAGGATGGCTGGTACTAGCTGGGGTTTATCCAACAGACAGGAAAAGGAGACTTAGGAAAAGAAAACTGCAAAAGGGAAAAGATCACCCTTAGGAGCCCTGGCACCAGGAGGCCTCCAGGGTCTCAGCCATGAGAGGTGCCATCAAGGTGTCAGGCAAGCAAGGTGGGGAACTGGAAGAGGGGGGCCTGGAAGGGGAACTATGAGTTCTGCACTGTGTCCAGAGAAGGGGATTAGCAGTGAGCACTCACAGTCACCCAAGTCAGAGTTTCTGGGAAGCCTCAGACCTCCTGCCATATGGGCCCAGTGAAAACGAGACAAGAGCTGGGTGTGTTCTAACAGCTGGTGAAAACTCAACAGGAGCTACATTCTCTCTCTACAGGGTGAGGTGCTTGAATTAACAGGACCTGCCCAGGAGTGCTCTTGGGGCAGAAGCAAGGCCTTTCTTGGATCTCCTTGTCTGGAAGGGACAGAACTGCTCACAAGCCATGTGATTCAGTACAGACAGGAAGCATGGCTGCGTCAACACAACTGGACTGCCAATGCTGCACACAATGAGGATCTAGTATGAAATCAAGTAGTTTCTGTGCCACATCTAAATCCAAAGGATTAAAGAACGTTATAGGTGTGTTTGCCCAGCTCACAGCAGCAGGGAGAGCTCCAGTGTAGCATGTGTTCTATCTGCTCTGTGGGTGTTACTGCTTATATGGAACCACTGGTCACATCAGCATGGTGCTAGGTACACATCTGTCACCACTTCCCCTCAGCCACATTAACATGGTATTCCTTCTGCTCTGGAAGGCAGCATGTTTCTGAACACCACAGGAAGCAGTGCGGACATGGCCTTACATTTCTAAATAGGACCACAGCAGCCTCTCCTCACCTACCAAATCCTTTACTAACGTTCCCTTTACACAGTAACTGGTGAAAATGGTAATGGCTAGAGAGGGCATTGTGAACCAAGCCCTACCAGCAGGGAAGATGGCACTTTATTACACTTCACAGAGGCATTACCAGCCTGCTTCCATTTACCAACCAAGGGCAAGGGTCCAGCTCACCAGAAAAACCTCTAGCAGCACTTCAGTGAGCAGAGCTAGCACTGTCAAAGCCATGAACAGATGACATTGACTCCCAAGCATTGCAGTGCTGCTGCAAATGCAGCAAACTGTGTCTGCATCAGCAGTAAAGAAGCCTCAGTTGCTACTAGTGCAGGCTTTGATTCTGTCATAAGTGAAATGCTTTGGCCTACTGGTAAACCTGGAGTGGAGAGAGGTTTTTCTGTCAAGACATATCCCACACCTGTACTGGCCCTTGCTAGTGGCGTAGCAATTACTCCAGCCCTAAAGTGCAGGTCCTATTACATGGATGCCAATAATGTCCACAGATAAAAGTGTTTTAAAACTATCAGCAATGCACACGTATCATTGGACAGATGCACCAGTTAGTACTTCAGGCCACAGGAAGCTGATCTGGGTGCACTAGCTTCTCAGAGGAGTATTTTGCCAGCTAAAACCAGAAGAGCCTCCTAACTTCTAGCATTTCCCCCAGCATCTCTATGCAAAGCTGTTCCCCCTTTTAAAATATGCCAAACAGCACGTGCTGGACACAGGCTGGGCTCATATACCATTTACCATGTTGATTTATTCATTTGAGTTGTGAAGGAAAGAATTTTCAAGGATCATTTAACTCTGGTACCTGTTAAGACAACTAAATAATAGCTCCTTTTCTCTTCCTTTACTTACCAAAGCTTTTCTGGCAAACGGAAGATTCTTCTGCCTTATTTCGAACTGTGCACAGAGAAGCCACATTTTGGCAAATGTAAACTGGAAGGAAAAAAAAGGAATCATAAGGTATATCTATATCTGTCTATCTATATCTATATAGCTAGACACACACATCTTATAAGATATGTGATCATAAGGTATAAGATGACAGTTAATGCTGATTATGCCATTCCAACAGAAATTAATTGTTTTCTTGACTTCAAGTGAAGTGAGATAAGTTACTGCAACTGAACAGAGTCTTATTTGAATTCCTGACACCATTCTGCTAAGCAGATAAATTGTCTCCTATACATTTATTTGAGCACAGGCTGAGCTAACTAGTGTCAGGGAGGAGCTGTGTATATGCCCTCTGCCCCCTCATGTGCCTCTACCTGAGTGCAAAGAAGGCGGAGTGGTCCCAGCTGCCATTTGCTTTCCTCAGAACACAGCTCAGCAGGGGGTTGGTGCAAGCATTATGGTTCTCCTCATCTTAAATACTATTAATAGCAGGCTTAGTGTAGCTCCTGTAATTTATTAATCTATTATGTTTACTTTAGTAGTTTGATGGCTAAATGCATTTAGATGGTTAGTCATCCTACCAACATGTTCCACCCACAGCAACAGCCCAGAAAGGGTCAATGAAGGCTTATTACCTCCCCAGCTGGGACCAAACAGCCAGATGGAAACAGCTGCTATAGAAGAATACAGCTCAGGCAGAAGTGGGCAAAGTGGATGGAGAGGCTATGGGGAGTAGAGATGAAAACAAGCAAATGCTGAAAGTAGGAACCAGCTCAATGACGTGGTGAGGGTGGAAGGGAAAGGTTCTCTACTGCTACACACCCAGAGAGAGGGTGGGCATGGGTTGCACTACACCCTCCTCTGCCAATTGTAGGAAAGAAACTGATGGTCCTGGGTGAAAAGTCAAAGTGCCAGTGAGTTCCCAGGTCAGGGAAAGGCAGAAGAAGTGTGGACAATTATCTCACCAATCTTTTCTAGCACTCAGGAAGGGACTTTCACTGCCAGTTTTATGGCTGTGTTAAAAACAGGCATGTGGTACAGGATCAGGGTCTTTCTCAACAAGTCACTGCAGTGGCAGGTCATTGGTGCTGTCTTTTAACATGTTGTGGGGGCATGGAAGAAGGTGCTTTGCACCTGTGGTGTGTGCACAGGGCTGGAGTAGATGGTTTTAGGATTCTCTGGATAAATAGCTGCCCATCAGCGCAGTGGACTAGACACTGGTCTGAGAGGCCCCTTCCAGACCTGTGTGGGATTAGTGCAGGGGTGGACAAAATATGGCTCATAGGCCAGATGCGGCCTGCCAGGTAATTCCATCCCGGCCATAGGGCCCCTTTGTAAGCCCTGGCCCTGGGCTGCCCCCTCTGCAAGCCAACGCATCTGGTTGCTAAGCAACACCCCCCCCCGGCCTGATCCACCCCAGCCCTAAGCTAGGGGGGTGCTGGACAAAAGAAGCCTCTGCCTAGCAGAGGCTTTTGCTGGCAACCCCATGGCTGTTCCAGCCTCTGTGCCTGCGAGAGTGGGAATTCAAGTATGGTCCCATGGGGCCAGGGCCAGGGCCAGGGCCTCCCACTGGGGGACAGGGCCAGGAGTGTAGGGAGCCATGTATCATGGGACCAGGCTGGAATGAGCGCAGGAACTACATGCTATGGGCCTGGTTCAGGCCAGCCCTGCATGCTGCCACCATGTATGGCTGGGGACTGGGGTGGGAGTGCTGGGAGCTGCACGCTATGAGGCCACGCAGGGCCAGCCTTGTTCACTGCCACATGCAGATCCAGGGACTGGCACACTCCAAGGACCACCCCCCACACATACTGCCACTTCCACCATTACCCTACAAACACCCACACCCTCCTGCAGCCCCCACCCCAACCACATACCCCACACCCACACCACGCCACACATACACCCCAGCCACCCACACACCCACTCCCCACCACATACCCCCCCCACATATACCCTTTTAACTCCCGCACACATAATATACAAGAGTAAGACTGTATTTTGAGCTCTTATGCAATCATCTCTAGATACACTATGCAAACACGCAAATCGGGACAAAAATATATTTTTAAATAAAATTAAAATAAGTTATAGTAGATGTTTGATTTTTTTCGTATATGATTTGTTTTTTTTCCAGTTTTAAGATGGCAGCACCCTCCCTTCCAAGAGTACTTCTGGGGCAAAGGGAGGGACTTCTGGTGGCAAAGGTCAGGGTCAGAGATGGAACTTCTGGTCCCAAGATGGCAACCAGCAGGCAGGGCACCCATCAAGGGGCGGAGCTACCCCTCTGGCCCTTGACAACTCACCAAAACTTGTTAAGTGGCCCTCCAGTTGAAATAATTGCCTGCCCTGGATTAGCACATTCTGAAATGCACCAATTTAATCCTGCTGCCAGGTGAGAGAAGTGATACAGCAGACAAAATCTGGCTTCTCATTGTTGGTTCTTGAAGGACTCTGTTCCAAGCTGAGTTTCATTAATAGGGATCCCCCCATGTCAATGTGTGTGTTGTTCATGGACAAGAAAAAATACCTTATTTTGCTTTTAAGGAGTGAAGCACCCAGGCCCAACAGTTCCAATGATCTCTTTGTGGGAACAGGCTGGGGCATGGAAGGAAAAATTCATGACCTAGCACCAGAACCATTAGAAAAACTACCTTTTTGTGTGGAATGAGCTCCAGACATGCTTGATATACTTGTCTAGTTCGTTCTGGGTCCTGTGAGAACAAACCCATTGGATTAATTATTCAATACAAAAAACAACTGTGCAGTTCTAACAATGTCCAAATATAAAAGTAGTTCTGGGACAAAACTCTTGAGGGTGTGTGTTTAGATGCAGTTATATAGAACTCGGCCCGCTTTCTTTTAACAGCCTGCCCACCCATTTGCGTGCACAAGTGGCCATTCAAGGTTTATTTCAAGTTATAATAAAGAATGCATGTCTACCTCTCCTATCAAAATTTGGTATTAAGAATTGGACATTTTAGCCACCTTAGCAGAAGCAGCAGCTAGACTGCACAATGAAACTAAGCCACTCTGACATGAAAACAGCCTCAAAGCAATTGCAGTGTGACAAACTGACTAATTACATACTCAGAAAAGGAGGCTGTTCCTACTGAAGTTTTATGCAACTCAAAGCCTCATGAGACCAGAATGAGAATGACCACAGACATTATCTGAAATAGAGTGAGTTTAAAAATCAGTGTTATTGGGCTTATAACAACTATTGCAAAAATGTAAGATCAAATAGGCCTAAGATGGCTTGGTTTTGCTTTTAAATAGCACAAGGCAATCAAGATGAACAGGAGGAAAAGTGGGTGTATGACAGCAACAGCTATACAGAGTAAATCTATAAAAGGACTGTTTGAGTTGCAGACCATTACCAGGACTGATAAGGATATAGTTCAAAGATCTCTTAACAAGTGGACCACTTAATGATCCTGCAAAAAGTGAAAGCTCTGCTGAAAAAGTTAAACCCCTACTGATTTTGTAAATAAGACAGCGGGACTTTGCTCCTGGAATTTTCTTATTCAGTGAGCAAACAAATTTATTATAGGCCACTCAACCAAATGTAGTGGGAAGAAAGGAGTATTTTTACCCTTTACCTTTGCCTCCAGTTCTTCATACAATGCATAGTTGATCCAGAGATATATGTATCTCTTCCAGTGTCGCTTCTCTTGGATTGGTGGAACATTGGCAATGGCTCTCTCGTAAACTTCTCGCACAGTATCAGCATCCGCATCACTTTCAACCAGCCGCAAGTAATCAAACCACGCATCATAGTTGTGTGGATTAGCCTTGCACAAAACGATAGGAAACCATTTCATTAAGGCAAGTGTAATATAACAATGTGTTCCTTTTCCCAGAGGATAGAACAAGAACAAGCTTTTTGCTAAGTTCATAGATCTAGATTTTTTTTTAATTAAAAAAAGGTACTGAAATATTAAATGTTACCCTCAGTTAGAAGTAGCTAAGTAAATAGGACATTGGCTCCTTAAGTGGCTTTGGAAACAGTATCTAAATGAGAGCAAGTACAGAGTGGGAAAGGAACTGCCACCATTTTAGATTTTAAACAATGGAATAGTTAAATTAACAGAATGACAATACAGTCTGGTGGGAGGGCGGGGGAGAACTGTCATCTTAAGATAGAGCAGAGATGTGTAAAAAAGTCTGTGGGCAACAGCCCCAACAAATGCACTAAAATCTGAAAACTGAATGTCTACTGTCATATACATTACTGTGCTTTCACTGTGCAAATTTGGGTTTCATTTTTATTTGCTTGATGTGTCACTGAGGTTTCAGTCTGCAGGTGAGACTGCAGGTACTAAAGGACATAGAGAAAACAATATGAACTACTTTCATTCCCTCCCTTCACTTTCCTCCGGGGGGGGGAGGGAGGGAGACATGGCACAGGATGCGGGCCCAGCAGTGCTGGGGGCAGGGGCTCTGTGCTGCTGCTGCTTGCCCAGCCGGGGTGGGGAGGGGTGGGATGTGATCATTCCTCTCCACATCCCCACCCCCTGGCCTGGCACCCACACAGCAGCTGCCCCATGGTGTGGGTGCAGCATGGCTTGTCAGGGCACTATGCGCTGCCTGGAAGCTGGGGCCACTGGGACTGAGCAGTGCTGGGCTCTGGCCGACACGTGGAGCCACCCCAGCTCCCAGACAGTACGTGGCGCCTTGCTGAGCTGCACTGTACCCACTGCCGCATAGATGGCAGGTAGGGTGCGGGGGGATGATTCCTACTGCACCGTGCTGCATGGGGGGCCTCTGCCATGAGCGCCCAGATGCCCCAATCGCCGCTTCTGCAGCCAGTGAGTGCAGGCCTTTTTTTTTTTTTTTTATAATTGCTGGGACTAGGCTGGGGCCCGGCGGGGGATGGGGGGCAGGGCAGCCATGGGGACTTCTCCTGCAGCTCCCCCAGCCCAGGGAGAAGCAGGCACAGCTGAAGGAGCTGTGGGAGAACCTGCAGCCACCTGGCTGTGCCTGCCTCTCCCTGGCCAATCCAAATCACCAAATCGCTCCAAATCAGCACCAAATCTTCCTAAGCTGATTCGGCCAAATTGATTCAGGATAGCAATCCGAATCTTCGAATCAAATCACTGTCCAACGAATTGGCTGAATCCAAATCAAATACCTCCCTATTCGCACAGGCCTACAGGCAACCTCATTCTGCATCTGAGAATGGAATATGAGCTTTAGCCATGTTTACATTGCTGTGAGTCCCACCTACCTTTACTTCTTCTTCATACTGGAATCTCCTTTTGCTGACAATGATGTCTTCAATGCCCCTTCTGTCCCCAAACTTCTTCTCAAAGATGGTGTAGTTCTTGAAGAGTTGTTGGGCCTCCTGTTTGGGAATTCTATCCAGGGCATATCTGTAGATCACCCTCACTCTCTCAAACTGAAAACACATCAAAACCAAAGTGACTTGTACTGCATTCCTAAAGTAGAATCTCCTTTCCCTTCCATCTAATCCACAGCTGATAGTAGATCAGTATGTAAAAGTAAAGGACTCACTCTCTCACTGGGCACACAACCTTTAACATAAATGGCTGCCGTGAAGTCCTTAATTTCAGTAGCAGCAGGCTCAGGCCCAAGGAGAAGAGGAGGAAAGCCTTTATCTAATGTATATGGACACCAGGGACTTGGGTGTCTCAGTACTTGTATTACTACAGACAATGAGAAGAGAAACAGTCCAGAGTATGTTTCAGCTATACTTTCTTCCACAGTAAGTGTATAAGCTTAACAAAAATACCAAGATTGGCCGAGGCCCAAGATTGTTGTTCACTTTCTCTTGATGATGGCAGAAAGTTTCTTGCTCAAGTTAGAACAAAATGTCAATCAACGACAGCAAAAGGCAAATGTAAAAATAACAGCCTCCTCATTACTTCAGACAAAGCATGAGCTGTCAAATAACAGTGAGAACATTCAAGAAATCTGTGTTCGTGCTGGGTCGAAAGACTTTATGAAGCCCTTACTTCCTTCTGGTTCTCCTCAAATTTTGCAAAGGCCACATACAAATGCTCATCCATGTGCTCTTCTCCAAAGAACTCCACTGCTCTCTCATATACTTTTCTTGCATGGGCAAAGTAGCTGTGCTTCTCTTCAAAGCGGGCATACTTGATCCAGTTCTTAACATCAGGATGCACAATGACAAGTACACTGGTGTTAAAGAAATGGTAACAGGCAAATAGGACATTTCAAACTTCACATTCAGGGATTACAAAACCGGAGGCCAGGCTAGAACAAATGTTAATGATGAACTATGCAGCTGACATATCCAGGAAGTGGGGGGAAAAGAGGGTTAAAATAATTCCACAAACAGAGGGCTTTCAGGTTCAGACCCTAGCATTTTTAGGAAGGACAGTGCAGGGAAAAAGAGCTGTAATACTTCTATCTGTAAGGATGTACAAACACCCAAGAGAGACTGACCCGACCCTGCAGCAATGTATAAACACCAAATTCCAAAGCAACTTAATTTGAGAATCAATATATTTCACTGCCTAGCTCTGCATATGCATTCACCAACTACCAGTGTGCATTAATCGTAATACAACAAGAGTAGATAAAGAGAGAAACTGAATATCAACTCAAAGGAGTTTAAAAGGTTGAATAAAAGACGAAGTGCAAAAGGTGGACCCACTATTTTTAGAAAGGATATACTGCTCATAAATGGAGCGCGCCCTGTCCACCTCCTTGTATCTCAGCTCAAAGTTAATATAGGAATGCCAAGCTTGTTCCTCTGGCTGCCACTCCATCCAGCGCTCAAACACCTGACGTGCTCCAGCAATATTTCCCAGCATCTCTTCCATGTACGTATACTTATACCTTTAAAAGAAGCAAACAGGAACTAGTGTTGATAAAATCATTTAGCAAATAGGTCACATTGGGAGAATAACTTTAATGTATGCTTGGCAAGATTATTGTAGGAAACTCTGTTGTTGGCTATTTGAATCTCATAAATGCTGAGGGATGACAATGCACCAAGCAATGCAAAAATATAAGAATACTGCTATTCCAATGAGCTCTAGACATTTTTCCCCACTTTGGGACTAACTTTTACAGGAGTAAAAGGTTGTGTGGTAGAGGGGTGTGTGCACAGTTTGCTTGGTGTTTTACTATCAGATTGCAGATTTACATAAATAAAGTAAAAGACCAGAGACAGTGAACACTGTTTTCATGAGGACTCTTCTCCTTCAACTAAGGGAAAACAGGTTTCTTTTCTTAAACTAATGGAAAACATCAGGCACATCTAATACTTGAGGAGAAAAATACCATGCTGTGATATGTGAAAACTTACCAGAACTGGTTGACTCTGGGCAGAGTGGTGATGGCTCGATCCCAGATGTTGCGGGCATGATTAACCTGGCGGTTCTTCATTTCCATTTCTGCATACTTCAGCCACAAAGTGACATTTCTGTAGTCCACGTCCAAAGCACGCTCGTAGATGGAACGAGCTCTGGAAAGCAAGCCAACGTTGTTGAAGTAAGCATACATAAGATGCAGTTCAAGGATGTGAGATGCATTAGTTCTACATATGCTAGAAGGGAGGTAAGAGATGTCCCTCTTTTATAATTACCTTTGTATTTCTTTGAGGCTTTCCTCCCATTGTGCGTACTTTATCCAGTTACTGATAACAGTTCTGTTTTTTCTTATGTTATCTTCAAAAGTCTGAGGAAAGAAAAGATTAGTCAAGCTGGAAACAGGTAAAGCTTAAGACAAGTGACAGGTTAATTCTTCACTTTCTTGTGATTCCGGACAGGAGTCAAAGGAGAAGACAGAGCACGGGCTGCAAGGCTGCACGAGCAGTTCACTTCAGGGCTAAAACTTACTGCACAAACTCAAGTACAAAATGACTAAGTGAGAGGAGAGCTCTCAGAAAGTGTTCAGTGGTAGAACATGCTGCTAAACTTTCCCTTTGAGAGAACAACTAACAGGATCAAAAAGTGAAAGCCTCTTTTTTTTAATTATAATTTTTATTCTAATCATCTAGACAGTGGCAAATCAGCACTGGTATACAAAGCTGTGATAGAGACCACAAAGAGATACTGAAAGAGAAAGTGAGAGATCACACACAACAACTGAAAAAGGGGCAACACAGCATGTCTGGTATTGGGGATCCTTGGAGACTAATGCAATCAATACAGGTGATTTCATAGACATTAGGGCTGGAAGGGACCTTGGAAGATCATCAAGTCCAGCCCCCTGCACAAAGGGCAGGAAGTCAGCAGGGGTTATAGGATCCCAGCAAGATAAACATCCAAATTTCTCTTGAGGGCGTTCAAAGTAGGTGCTTGAACCACCGTTGGTGGCAGGCTATTCCAGACCTTGGGGGCTCGGACAGTAAAGAAGTTCTTCCTCATGTCCAGCCTGAAACAGTCATGGATGAGTTTATGACTGTTCGACCTTGTCATCCCTTGGGGCGCTCTGGTGAACAAACGTTCCCCCAGATCCTGGTGAGCACCCCTTATAAACTTATAGGCAGCCATCAGATCACCCCAATTGATCATTTTGTTTTCTAGATTAACATCATTAATCAGTCAGATCGTTGCATGCACATAACTGCTCTACTCTCTGTTGATTTTTATTCCTTTTCCTTGGTTCTATGTCAACATCCTACTGTAAGAGAATGGACTCATTAATATGATATTAGGCATGCAGTTTCTAATGCAACATTAGAGTGGTATGAGTCATGCTCTGTTGCTATTTGATCCTAAATCCCAAGTATTAGAAACAAAACTTTTTTTGTTTTTAAAAAAGGTGAACTTTTACACAGTATTTGTCACTACTTAATTGGCATCTCTCTTCTTTCTTTGAAAGTTATTTAAAAAAGAAACACAACATTTTTAAGTTATTCAAACTTAAAAAATAAATTAGTGTCCTGCTCCTGTGCAGAAGCAGCAAATAGCTGTGCACGTACCTTCCTTTTCCGAAGCTTGTAATCATTTAGCTCTTCCTCATCAGTGATCTTCTGTTGGGGAGGGGGCGGAAGAAGCTCAAGTTCTCTCTCTTTCGCTTCTCTCAAGAGCTGTTCTGCTGTGATCTGTACTTCCGCTGGGGCTTTATTTTTCACCTTAGGAAAAAAAATTCATTTTTATTTGATTTTTTTTAAAATTCCATATAATACTGAAAAATCTGCTGACTTGAGTTAATTCAGTTATTTTGCTGTGTGAAATTCCCACAGTGTGACTAGTGATAGACCGAGAGAGAAGTGGGATGGTAAATACAGGCAGTCCTTGACTTACGTTTCAAGTTACAATGTTTTGCACGTACAACCTTTATAAATTGACACCCTGTTTCAACTTTCTCTGGGGAGCAGGGCAGTGGGGGGACCAAGGCAAGGTGGGAGGAGCAGGCCCCCCTTTGCTCGTCTCCTGTGCCCCCGCCATCATGACGGCGAGCTGCCACCTATCCAAATGCTTCTTCACGCTCTGATTGGCTGTTTGTCAGCCAATCAGAGCACAAATAAAGCATTATGGCCAGACGGATGGACAGACAGATTTAGGCTTTTATAATATTAGAATATAATTATAAGTGTAACATCTGTCAGGGGCCTTAACTAGTTAACTGTCTGTAATTGTATGTATGGGAAGGGCTCCCAGCCTCTGGAGCACACTGGAGCCTTTCCAGATTCCCATGTGCTCCAGAGGCTGCACATGCTCAATCAGAGCTCCCAGCCAGGGGAGAGCAACATGTACTTCCATGGCTGGGAGCACTGATAACTGATCTGAGCTCTCAGCTGTCGGATCACCTGGTGCTCTCTCATGGCTGGGACCTGCGATCAGCTGACTGGGGCTTCCAGCCCAGGAGTGCAGGCAGCCAAGCTTGCTACAAGCTATAACGTTTTAATTGGATAAAACTCACCCATATGCTAAATTTTATATGCACGAGCACAGCAGTAAGGTGTGTACACACATTTTAGAACTGAGGGTTGTGGTCAGTCTACTGACCATTACAATTTCAAAGGACTGCTTGTTTTAAAAAGTGGAATGTGTCACTGAGGATCCTCATGGGTGTACAAGTCACCTAGTTGGACTTAGTATCTGATCATAATATTAGCAATAGACTAGACCAGGAATTGGCAGCCTACAGGCTGGATCCAGCCTGCAAAGAGGTCTGGATCTGGCCTGTGGTGGCATGTAGGATCTACAGCACGCAACAGCTTTCCCTGACACCTTCCCCTTCTCTGCCCTACACCATGCTGCTGATCCCCTCTATAATGCCCCTTTCTGCAGCTCTCTTTCCTGTTAAACCAGCCAGTGCTTACTCTCACTGCCAAATTCACCCCTCCTCACTGATGTTTCAGACAGCAAATCTGCAGCACTGGAAGATGCAGGTAAGTGGAGGCAGCAGCAGGGACACTATGGGAAGGAACAGTGCAGCAGGGATTGGGAGCAGCCAGATTGCAAGCACCAGTCCACTGTTTGTAAAAGGTTGCCAACCCTTGGGCTAGGTAACTAATTATAATGCCGTGGCAGTAACACTGCCCCTACTGGTAGCCTGGAGGATTCCATTTTCTTATTTCCATTCCACTACATCAGGTGTGTCAAACACACCGCTCAGGGGCCAGACTGAGCCCCTGGCGCCCACTGGACTACTGGAGTGGCCTGCCACAGAATTCAGGGTGGACATGGCAATTGGCAGCAGGAGGGCAAGGAGAATGCTGGTCCCTGCCGCATGTCCTGTGCTGGAGCTACCACCACATGTGGGATGGGACATGTGACAACAGTTCCAGCACCAGACTGGAGCTGCTATTATGTGCTTTAGGTCAGAGCTCAGAACTGTGACCACTGCAATTTTTTTTTTTTTGAAGGAAAAATGTTTGTGTTCCAGGTTAAATTAGCCAGATCAGTTCCAAATCCCTGGAATCATTCAAAAACTTTGTGTGGCCCTACTACCGGCAAGTATCCTCCACCAAGTCTGGGGCTTCAGATACTTCCAAATCCTTTGGCAGGCATCCTACATGCAGGCACAAGCCCAGAAGCTTGGGGTTCAGATGCCCCCATATTTCACTTGCTCCCAGCCATATGGCCGCAGAAGCAAGCTACAGAAGAGTCTCCCATAAAGGCGATGTGTAGCTGTGATCCTCCCACTGGAAGCTGGTCAGTGGGAAGCTAATTATGAGCCTCCCATAGGGAGTCCTGTCTGCAAGCAGATAGGGATGCATCCTCCACGACACAAAGCTGTAGCCAAGGCTTGCTCCAGGAGCTACCACTGTTGCTGTAGTTTCCTCATTTCCTGGGATGCATCTGGCTTACAAAGAGCCCTGTGGTCTGGATCTGACCTGGGGCACAAGGTAAGTTTGATACCCCTGTTTACACTATTTAAAGCAAAAAATAAAATCTGCATTTGAGTGACTTAGGTACAGCCATGCAAAGGCTCCAATCCTGCACCGAGCTCCACACAGGCAGCTCTCCTGTGCACAGGCCCCTGCTTAAGTGCACCAGCCTCTACGCAGGCTATGGTGGAGCACCCATGACATCACTGGCTCCCAAGCAAGTCTGCCCAATTGGGACGCAGGGCAGGAGCCTGGCCTGTGCTTGTCACCTGGTGCCACAGCAAAGGCAGAAGCTGCCAATGGGGCCCATGCTGCGCATTACATACATTACACAACAAAGCAGTCAACTGCACAATAAATTCAGCACAAAGTCGTTATCACAGCAAAAAAAGGACTGTCCGGCTTTAAGAAGAGGTAGCCGCTTACAATGCGAGTGCTCGAAAATGTGCAACCACTTGACAGCTGATTTCTACCTGGCTTTCATTTGAACCTGTGGCAGGACACTGGGAGCTAGAGCGGCAGCAGCAGAAGCCATGACTCCCATGGGGACCTCTCTGGCCCCAAGGCTGGCCTGACTTGTGCCTTTTAGTGACCAAACCCCAAAGCTGATGTAGAAGAGTTTACTGAGAGGCAGTAGCATGATTTATTAGCCCGAAGAAGCCGTGGCTGAAAGACCCAGCCCTGGCCTAGCTGTGACAAATCTGAGGGTCTTAAATTGCCAGGTCTTAAATATGAAATTATCGTATTGGAAGCTCAAAATTATTGTACGTGTTTAAAAACCTATTGTACACAGAAAAATATGGAAATAAGTATGCAAATAAATGTGATTTACTCTATACTGCTCCTGGTAACTTGCCAGGGAGTGAATGAGAACTGGGTTAGAGTCGGAGCATTTCTTTATTTTGAAGGAAGCCATCACAAGAAAGTGCTGATAGCTCAATTGATATGATCTGAATCACTTCTTGGCCTCTTGTGGGCTAAGATCAAGCAGCCTTTTGCCTCAGATCAAGGACAGCATCTGAATCGCAAGACCTCCGGGCTTGGGCCTGCACACAGGACACCTGCCAATAGATCTGGGAGTCCATGAAGTCCCAGCATGAGAGGCTGGCATGGAGGATGCTACCGCCATACATAGTGTTTACAACTATTGAGCTCTACCTGCTCAACCCACACTGTTTTGGGCATGACTGAGTTCTGCCCAATTAATATGATACAGAGCTGATTTGACCTGGAACATGAAATATATTAATAAAAAAACAACAACCCAAAGGTCAGTTGTCTCCCCGAGAGCGACTTGGGTTTTGCATCAAGGAGCTTCCTCAAAAATGAGCATGCAGTGTGAGCATGTTGACTGTGATTGATGGTGCACCCTACAAGGGTTGAATGAAGGTACAAATCCCATCATCGTGGAACCCCTGGCAGCGGGGGGGGGAGAGGCGCTGAGACGGCCGCTTGCGTCACGGCCCCCTTCCCACCCCGGTGCTCCAAGCTGCGCCCCCCTCGCGGCCCCACGCACTTGGTAGGTCCCGGCCGCGGGTCCGGGCCCTGACCCTCCCGTCACCCT